TTAGGTCCTGTTCCCAATCTCTACTGCCAGATCAAGCAATTATGGCTTTTCTGTATCTTAGTTGGACTGCTCTTAAAGCTGTTTTATGGTTTTTCTCACAAAGTAATATCAGCAGTTGTGTGGAGACAAATTTATAAATGTTGATGGGTTTGTTTAATCTGCAAGAACTTATTGAGCATTTGCTATGGGGTTAGCATGTTGACAAGTACTATACGAGCACAGCGATAAGACCAGGTGTTGGTTTTTCCCAAGCTCCATCTCCATGCTCCATTTTCCATGTGTTGGTTTCCACAGGGTCTGCCATTTCTTCTTCTTCTAACATAACTCTTCTCTGAGCCATCTCATCCATGCCTAGCCATGGTGATGGTTCCCAAATCTAAATTTCCAGTCCAGAATGATCTTCTGAGTGCTATACCTATATATTCAATTTCTCCTCAGTGTCACAGTTACCTCAAATTTAATATATCCAGAAAAAGATTTCAATGCTCACCGCCCCACCACCAAATCATTCCCATCCTGGAATGAAAGACAGCATGACCCACCTAGTTACACATGCTGAGAGAGATCATTTAGGAGACCTTCTGAAATACCGCTTACGTGCATGGAATTTTAATTCACACCACTGCTTAAGTAGAGTTTCATTGATTTCCATTTTGGTTAACATTTTAACAAACCTTGAGCTAAATTTTTAACTGCTTAATGCCATGAGAAGGGTCTGCAATTCTTTTACGGTAGGAATAAAAAGAGCAACTTATACCTCTTATTTCCTATGTATTTAGCTCCTTTGCTCTTTAATATTCTGAAATATTTCAAAAGGGAATATGTAAATGTTTTCTCTTAATTGTTAGAATCTTTAAACTGATTCTAATCCTGAAAACAGATTTGCCATTTTATAATTTGTTGGGTCAAAATTGGAGCAGCTTGATAGTTTTTGACACTGGATTTCTGATGAAAATTGCCCTTCCTTAGGAAGGTGACCTTGACCAGTCTTCCCTAAGTACTCATGTACTGTTTCCAAAGTATCTATGTGTATTATTTTGGTACTTAATGGCTAGCAATGTTGTTCCTTCTCTGATTTTCATATAGCTCTTCATCTTGATTTTAAGCTGTTGCTCCCACGGTTCTTAATAAGATGGATATGCACTCAGTAGGTGATCAATAGATACTGAGTGAATGAACTACGTACAGCAAACATCTACTTCCTATTGCTTCCTGAACTAACCTGAAAAAAATGAGAGAAAAAGATACCATATAATACAAACACCTTTTCCAAATGTTTAAACCCAATTTTCCTCATGACGTAACCTGCTCTACAACAGTAAATAGTACAACAATGAAAACGCCACTAGTTTATGAATTAGGAGACTGGGCTTCTCATCTACAAACCAACACTACCTAACTATGAAATCCTATAGTTAATCTTCCTGGGTCTTAAGTTTCTTATAAGGTAAGAGTAAAAGCTCTCTCAAGTTCTGAAAATTTTAGGAACCTGAATAATAAAAATTCCACATCCTAAGCAAATGTATAAGTGAGGAAATGGAGTACAAACCACAGTAATATATATTAATATATAATATAAGATATTAATATATATTATAATATGTAATATATTAATATATAATTAACATGATATAATATATAATATGTTGATCATAATATATATTATAGATAATATATAATTAATTTATATTAACTGTAAATGCACTGCTCTCAGGTACCTGAAATAAGGCTTGTCAGGAGACATGGTAATCTGGAGGACCTCACTTGTCATATCCAACTCGGAAAATGCTTCACGGAGCCCCTCTGACTGCAGAATAATTTTATTAATTACATTGGTGCTGCAGAAATCAAAATCCAGAGTCTCCTCAGGCTCCTGAGTATTGATTTTGCAGACAGTCACCACTCCTCCTTCTTCCAGAAACAGCATCAAAGGGTAACCATAGCCTTGGTAACACATCCGAAGTGCAGTTAAAGTCCCTGCAATGGAAAGAAATCATACTTTGGGCTTAGCTTTACAGCTCTGGGTTCAGCTTCTCCTCAAAATGGTAAATAAAATTCCTCAAGAATAATTCATCCTGTCCAATTTCTAGCATATATGTATCTCCTCAGAAGAACGTATTACATCTTCTCTGATAATGGTTGTGTGTAGATAATTCCAAAAATAAGTATAAGAAAATTGGGAACCAGAACAAAATGTAGCTCTCTGAAATCATTTTCATCCTGCCAAAAACACCCCAGAAATAGCTTATTGATTTTATATACATGCAATTTCAGGATGGAGAATCTACATGAACCAACATGGCAAGTAAGAGAATTGTTGCAGAACAGGATATGCTATTTCTTGAAGATTGAATTTGTGCAACAGTGCATTGCTTTGATATTGTCTGTACTATAATCAGTGTATTTATTCACTGTGATAAGGATCCTTCCAACCTTTCCTAATGGGAGATATTCTTTATATTTCCTCAAATTTTAAGATCAAAATGGGAGAAAAAGAGAGGGTGGTTAATGGTGGTGTGAATTTTAACACTGCAAACCACTAGAGGCAAGGAGGAACATGATAATATTCTAGCTCCTTCCACTTATGGGATAGAGAACCACAGTGAGGAATGGGGGGAGGGCATGCTTTCATCAAAAACCAGCTGGGGAACAGCACATTAGACAATGTGTAATTAACTATAGTGGAATTGTCAGCGCAAAACTAAAATATATATTCTGGAGAACTGTACCTGAATTTTCCCTAGCTAATCTCCAGGTTACTTTCCTATGAACTAAAATCATTCTTCTGGGGATCCCCTGTAGTTTTATATCCATTGCAACTGAATTTCACCATTCTAAAAATTAACTCCCTAAAAATTTTTTAAAAATGTATTTTAAAGGAAAGTATTTTGGCAAACAGACATACAGTCATGTGTCGCTTAATGAAGGGGATATGTTATGAGCAATGCATCATTAGGTGATTTTGTTGTGTGAACATCACAGAGTGTACTTACACAAACCTAGATGGTAAAGCCTACTACATACCTAGGCTATAAGGTATAGCCTATTGCTTCTAGGCTACAAACCTATACAGCATGTTACTGTACTGAATACTACAGGCAACTGTAACACAATGGAGTATTTATGTATCTAAATATATCTGTACATAGAGAAGGTACAATAAAAATATTGTATTATAATCTTATGAGACCAACTTCACATATATAGTCCATTGCTGACTGAAAAGTCATTATATAGCACAACTGTAACTTATAAATGAGGCTTTAAAAAAAAAAGCAAACATTTTGAACACAATAAACTGGGAATCAGGAGAATTGGTTTCTGTTTTTCTCTGCCACTAACTAGCTGTATAATTCTGGACAAGTTAGGAAAAGAAGCAAGTAAAACATTTCACAATGTTAAAGATATTTAAGACATATTCAAAGTATTCTTTTGGCCAGTTCAAATTTAAAATCCTCAAAGCCTTGTAAACTAAAAAAAGATGAATGTAAGTACTTTTACAAATATGACAATAACTGTAACTTTCTATTAACCTTGTGAAGTCAGAATCCATGGCTGTGACCATTAAAAAATGAACTGCCAATTAATATTCTAAAGAAATATTTATATTCGAAATAACTTTCTGTATTTTTCTGATCATTCTGTATAATGTTTTTATGTCTTTATAATGATAATAAAATGGTTTACCTGGCATAGGATTTGATCCAAAAATAGATAAACAGTCTAGAAGGACAGTTAAATTAATTCGAAAAGTAACAGACTCTTCCTGAACCCTAAATTCTTGAAATATCCCAGCCTACAAAAAAATTAAACATGAAAATGTGATTATATAAAAGGAGGAAAACTCACATATAACGTTCCAGATTACACTTCATATGTTTTTAAAATAACAATACTGTGCTAACCCCATGAGAATAATTTCTGACTACCAATCAAAACAGTTTTTTCAACCATTACCCATTAGAACAATATTACTGAATAGTTAAAAGTGTAACATTGATTTTGGCCCCATGTAAAACACTGTGGAGGATCCTTCTCTCTACTCCCGGATCTCAAGCTATCCCCCAAGTGACTCTCCCTTGTCTTCTTTTTGTGCCCATCAGTACTGCTAAAATTACTTGGAAAATAGACAATCTGATAATACAAAGTACCCACTTATTTTGAGGACAAGAACCATGTCTTATTTATACCTTCATCCCTGAGGTCATACTGTGCACTTAGTTGTTAAAAAAGTGCTGAATTGAATCTGAAGTCCTATCCAAAACATACAAATATTACTTTGTAAGAGAATCTATTACAACCAAGAAAAGGAAATAATAGAGTGGTAGTAATAATGTAGTAGTAAAGGCATATACTCTGGAAACAAACATTGGGTTCTCATCCCAACTCAGCCACTTCCCACCTGTGGGACTGTTGGTAAATCACTTAAGCTGTGCCTCAGTCTTGTATGTTGAATGGGAATAATAGCACAACTCACCTCATAGGACTACTGTAAGAATTAAATATGTTAAACACTCAGAAGAGTGCATGGCCTGTTACTCAAGCTTTTTTTAATTTTATTTTTTATTGATACTCAATAGCTGTACATATTTATGGGGTACAGAGTAATATTTAGATACATGTATACTATGTGATGATCAAATCCTGCTAATTAGTATATACATCACCGAAAACATGTATTTCTTTGTGATGAGAACATTTGAACCCCTTTCATGTACTGTATATTTGAAAATATTCAATAAATTATTGTTAGTTATAGACACCTGGGACTACTATAAAATACTTGAACTTATTCTTCCTATCTAGTTGTAATTCTGTACCTACTAACCAACTTCTTCGTATCCCTTCCCAGCCTCTAGTAACCACGATTTCGCTCTCTACTTCTGTGAACCTATACGTTTAGCTTAATAAACTTTAGTCATTATTATTATTAATCATTATCTCTATAAAACAATATGGGAAAAGAATTTGTTACCGGGAGAGAAACAGAATGCAAATAATGACATTTCGTTTTCTAATTTAAATCATGTCTGTTAAGAACGTTGAAATTAGTTAAACTGGGTGAAGAATATCATGTCACAGGATGAAAGGTGCCTAATTCCATACCTGAATAAAAGCATTCGCTTGCACACACTTTGCATTTTCCACTGTAACCTTGATTCCATTTTTAGTAGCGAAATCGTGGTT